TGTAGCGGTTGACTTGCATTCGATAGCGAGAAAACAAGACCCGCTACGTTATTTAATAATTTATTTAAAATCACAAAATCACAGCTCAATTAAATCGGGTAAAATACTTATTTTAGCCGGGGAGAGTGCAGCTGATGAAACGTCCGTCGTCTGTGCTGGTCCGCCAAAGAAGAAAGAGAACCAATCGAGAGATTAGAAAGCTGAGCGGCGAAGTTGATGAATCGTCAAATGTCATAGTGCTGAATAGATGATGATGGGCCGCACTGCCCTTAATTCATTAGGCTGGTACTCTACTTCAAAACCAATCTCTGAGTATGAGTAACTATTTGTAGAGGCGCAAGTCGCTACATATACATAGCGGACCCAAGACGGTAAATAAAAATTCTCAAATTTTCATCTACAGGTCATTAGTGCGCACATATAAAAGAAAAAATTCGTATATAAAAATCCCACGCATTTCCCAATAAATATATTTTATATAGTCAGAAAAACCATCCGCTTACATACATATATATTCATACGTATATACATCACCCAAAACATACCCATAACATACAATGTATTTCCATACCTCAAAAACCGCTGCCCAATAAAAGCACGCGCGATAAAAATAATAAATACCCAAATCCCACGTTATATATACAAATCCAGCGCTAAGCCAACTCACTTATATACGTATATATATTTAGCGGACCCCAAAGACGGTAAAAATAAAAACCCACAATTTGATTTACCGCACATTTTTACGCACATATCTATATATATAACACGCGAAGGCATTTTTTGTGCAGCATAGGAGATCTGCACCGTCAGCCGCTGTGGTGTAGTGCAGTGCGCACTTCCACTCCGCAACGCCTGGCTTCAAGCCCTGGTCAAAGCAACATCGCAAAAAATATAGAAAAAGGTTTTTTCTTAACAGCGGTCGTCCTTCGGCAGGCAATGGCAAACCTCCGAGTAAAACAGCTTCTCATAAAAGTACAATCGCCGTTCGGAGTCGGCGTAAAACTGTAGGTCCCTCAGCTTTGTGTGACAACATCAAGGCGCACGCCACAAATCGGAGGAGAAGCTCGGCCAAACACTAACATACGTGTAAGCGCCAATCTATTATTATCTATTAAAAGATCTGCACCGTTCGTTCGATTCTCAAAAATGGGGTGTCATGGGCCTGTAGATGTGCAATAAGGTTTTATTTTTTCGAAAAGAGTTGCCACCTGTTAAATAATTAAACTGAAGTTATTTACTAATCAATGCCCTCAGATCCGCACCGTCCGTTCGACTTTCAAAGGTGAGGTATTAAATTAAAGGGCTTAGGGTGTGGATGTTCAAGGTTTTACTTTCTCGAAAAAAGTTGCCACCTGTTAAGAAATTAAGCTCAAATTAATTAAAAAGTTAAACCAATTATTAATTATGGGTATCAATCGAAATGGTTTTGAAAAGGCTTTATAACTTAACTACGTATAGGAGGGTTGCCACATGTTAAAACATGTAACTCAATTCTTTTTTAAAGGAATTTAGTAAGTGAATAAGGTATGGCTATATGGGTGTCACACAAAAGAGGTTTAAGAAGGTAGTAGTTTGAAAATATTTTGAATAGGGTTTCCACCTATTTGAGAATTCTAATTGAACTATTTTTTATATGAAATATTAACCATGGATGTCAAATGAAATAACTTCAAGAAATACTTAGTTTGACAATTTAGAAAATTTTTTGATGTGTTTGAGGGTTGCCCCAGTTTAAAGGGCTAAACTAAAATTATTTAATAAGTTAAATAAATTACTAACCGATGCTTATCAATGGAAATGAGTTTAAAATCCTTTATCTAAGAACTATATTTAGGAGGATTGCCACGTGTTTAAAAAATAAATTTCCACTCAATTCATCAGTTACATGAAATCTTTATAACAGTGTCAGACGAAAATATTTAAGGAAATTTTGATTCGAAAATAATTTTAAAGAGGGTTGAAAGTGGTATTTCCTTTAGTTATACATAAGTTACATGAAATTTTAAAATATGGTTATCAAAAGAACGAGTGTTAAGAAATCTTTAAGCTGGACATTTGTTTTTTTTATTGTTGGAAAAATTAAGCTT